TGTTGACCTGTCTTCAAGTTCACAGACTCTTTCCTCAGACATCTCTCACTACTGAGCCAGTTTAATGTCTTAGGTTTCTGGTATTGTATTTGCTGTTCTGGATTTCCATCCTGTCCTTGTACCTGGCTTCTGCTCAGCTGAGAAGTCCTGCCTGCCCATTTGTCTCAAGTGTAGTTGCCTCTACCTTAGGTGACTTAGGTGACATGGCTGTAGTAATTGCACCGAAGTCTCTGTATGATAATCCCATCACCTGCACCATCTCAGGGCTGGCATCTGTTGATTGCCTTTTCCTTTGGAAGCTGGTCATGTGTTCACGGTTCTTTGTATGGAAGCGGCTTGGGTTGAAAATGGACAATTTGCCATGTAGATTCTGTTGTAAACCCTGGAAAATGTTAACTTTCAGTTCTTGCAGCCTATCAGCCTGGCTCATTCACATTACAAGTTCTGCTGCCTTCAGTGGCCTGTGGTTCCAGCATGAGTTCCGTTTCAAAGAAGTTTTATGCTGCTTCTCAGTCTGTCCCTCGCCTGTGTGGCTCGTGGGTGAGCCTGGGCTTGGGCTTGTTCCTGTGCAGAACTGCGGGTCCTTTTCCCTAGCTCTCTCCTCTCTGGGACACACACACACACACGAATACACACATGTACACACGCACCCTACACACGTGCACATGTACACACTTTCTGGACCTCCAGGCCCCTTTTCACAACTCTTCTTGCCAGAAGAACAAGGTTTCTATCTCTCAGAGGTCTGGCTGTATTTCTTTGCAGTTCTGATATGGAGGCCCTCTGGGCAAAGTCGCAGGAAAAGAGAGAAGACACAGCAGGGGACCCCCCATAGGAGTCACCTGCACAACCCACCTGCTTTGGCTTCCTCTACAGAGTGCTGAGGGAGCCTCCGTTTGTCTTGCTCTGTTCCCTGAACTCAGGCTTTAGCTGTCAAAGTGAGAAAGTGGCTATTGGGGACGTGTGGACTGTCACGGGCTACTCCAAACAGAAGGCGATGATCAGGAGACGGTGCACTTGACCTAAGACAGCTGATCAAACGTCTATTTTGCTTAAGGATGCAGCACCCCTCACTCAAATGTCGGGTGGCCTTGCTGACCGTGTTGTACCAGCCAGGCTCAAAATGCGTTTGTTTTCCTTCCCTGGGAACCGGTACCGAGGAGAGAGGAAGCAGCAGAGACACGACTGGTCCACAGGGGACAACGGCACAGTGCATGAGACAAGTCCAAGCCCCCTCTCTTCCTTGAAATGCTCTTTGCGTGGACTTTGTCTTTCCTTTTAGGTATCTTGGGGCTGGGAGGTGCCCAGTTCTGCTCAGCGCGGCAGTGGAGGTTTCACCAGGACAGTTGGGAAGGGAAGGTTGGAAATGAAGAACGGCTCTGCCTCAGTAGATGGTGTGATCGTTTATGTAGAAACGCCTTAGGATTACTAAGAACTCTAGTATTAACATGCTCAGGAAAGTCGCAAAAATCAACTTACTTCTGCGCACTCCCAGTGAATAGTCTGAGATTAAAATTAAGAAGGTGCCACTTACACAGCATTAAAAATGCTTAGTAATAAATTTAACAAAAGCAGTGCAAAGCTGGGCTGGGCTGCAGCTCGGTGATAGAGGGCTCGCCCAGCAGCACAAGGCCCTGGGTTCCATGCCCAGGTCCATAAAAAAACCCCAAAAAACCAAGAAACAGAAACACAAAAACTTATACCCTGAAGAATAAGCTTTGTGGACAGAAAGTAAGAAAGACCTAAATAAATGGAAACAGCGGCCTGTCTCCATGACCTGCAGTGCTCTCAGACCTGATCTACACGTTCAAAGTGATCCCTGTTGAAGACTGAACTGCATCCTAAAATCCAACTGGAACTCCAAGAGACCCAGAATGCCAGACAATCTTGAGAAAGAACAAAGCTGGAGGACTCACCCGCCCCAATTTCAGAGCTCATTGACCCTGAGGATGTAGAGATGGACTTGTAGGCTAGTGGGAAAGAGCTGAGAGTCTGGAAGCAAACTGGCTTTATGATAACTGATTTTTGGCAAGGGTGGCAGAACGATCTGGTGGGGCAGGGGGACTGCACATTTAACAAATGGTGCTGAGACAGTGGGTATCCACACACAAAAGAACACAGTAGACCTGCCAAACAAAATGGACCAAAGACCTAAATGTAAGAACTAAAACTATAAAACCCTCCCCTCCCTGGCAGTACTGGGGTTTGAATTTGGGGCCTTGCACTGCTAGGTGGGTGCTCCACCACTTGAGTCACCCCTCCAGCCCTTTTTTCTTTGTTTTTCAGATAGGTCTCATGCTGTTGTCTGGCTGGCCACAAACCTTGATCCTCTTATCCATGGCTCTCAAGTGGCTGGAATTATAGACATGAGCCACTGTGCCCTGCCTATAAAATTCTCAAAAAGAAATCATAGGCGTAGCCCAGGCCGCAAACGTGAGATCCTTCTGCCCCAGCCTCCTGGGTGCTGTAATTTAAAGTGAGGTCCAGGTGAGCTCAGGAATGGTGCCTGGCTCCCTGGCCACCAGGGCAATGCAGGACTAAGAGGGACACAGGAGTGCAGTCAGAGCAGTTAAAAGAAGAAGCAGTCAAGTACTTCCACGTGAGTGCTGGTCTGTCGCCCTCAGGAATGGCTCCTAAGACGAGACACACACCTGTGCCTGCCATGTTGCTGAGCACTGGGAACAGTCGGTCACAATCAGCAGTAACTGCAAACAACCCGATGTCCCTCAACAAACACGAGTGGTTTATCCACCAAGGGAATACAACTAGGCAAGAAAAAGGAGCCAACTTTGGGCACACATGAACACCTGAGTAACTGGCAAAGGGACAGATGCCACGGTCCAAAGCCAATACACAGTGATTTCCACTATGTGACATTCGCAAAAGAACAGATTAGTTGTCACAGGGGTGAGAGCGGGGAGGGGGAGACCATGAGAGGCCAGGAGGAGGGAGCTTTGGGGCATGGAGTGCCCTGTATCCTGATGGTGGTTACCAGAGTCGATATGAGCTGAAACTCACAGAACTGTCCGGAAAAATAAAATTTCAGTTTTCTGGCATGTTCATTTAAAAAGCAAAATATAAGGGTCAGGGGTGCAGCTTGGAGGAAAGCACTTTCCTGGCTTACACGAGGCCTGGGTTTGATCCTGGCACTGAAAAGCAAACACCGAAGCCAGGCGTCCATGCCGCAGCTCCTGCCTGGGCCGTGTACCTCTGCAGCGGATCCACCATGGCTGTGCTGTCTCTTTCTGATGGTGTAACGCAGCTCACACGATTTCACTTGGGGTTCCAACGGTCACTGTTTGTCCTGTTGCTTCTGTGATGGTTGAACATTGGCGCCTCTGTAGCAGTATTGAGTCCCCGGGGTCTCCCTCATGAGTGTCCTTAAGAGGGCACGTTGGACCCTCCTTGCCTTCGGCCACGTGAAGGCACAGCAGGAAGGCCCTGGAAGGCTGCTGGCACCTTGACATTGGACTTTCGACCTCAAGAACTGTGAGAAATAAGTTCGTTCATCGTAACTCTCCCAGTCCCAGGCGTTGTTACAGCCCCACAAAGAAACCAAGTTTCTAAAACTGAGTTGGTTTCCAGGTGCGCACAATTCAAAGTTGGGTGGCCAGCCTACAAAAAATGGAATCAAGGCCAGCAGAGACTGCAGAGACCCGAGACCCCGCCAAGATCTCACACACACAGGAACTGAGGTGCAAAACATTTGGTGGCCAAGCCCAGCTAGCAAGAAGCTGGGATTTGAGTTTGGATTAAAATCTCCTCCCTTCACTGAATGACTGGTCTGTGCAGGAGCCAGCCAGGCAGTGGGCCCGCATGGGGGTCAGGTGTCCTCATCCCACCCAGGACACCCCCACCCTATCTCTGCCCCCTGTCCAGGCCATACCTTTCCCACACTGCCCACAAGGCCTTTGGAAACCTGAATCCTTCCTCACTGCCTGTGCCTCTGTGCCAGGGCCTGAATGGCTTCCCAGGAGCTCTAAGTTGCTGGTGTCCTGTGTTCCCAGTGTCTCTCCAGCCCCTCTGTACCACTCAGCACGGGCCCTGCTCAGTCTCCATCTCCCAACCCATCCCCTTCCAAGCCTCCTTGGCCTCCAGTATCTTCCCCAGCAGGACACCAGCTGTACCACAAGCTTTGCACTGAATGTGACTTGGGTCTTATGTCCCCACCTAGGCTACAAGGGAGTCAGGTCAGGCTCTGGCCAGCCCCACGACAGAACAGGGAGTTACAAGACAAGCCATGCCAAGGCTAGAGCCTGGGAATTAGCTCAAGGCTGTTCTGGGCTGCCAGGGCAGAGCCCATGAGGTTCATGGACAGTATGAGGGGTTGTGACCCTTCCGTCCTTGGCTGTCCCAGGAGATGATGGCTCCCCCAAGGCTGAGTGCCATGGCCCAATCTGGCTTGGCTCAGGAGCTGAGCACAGAGCCTGGTCCACAACATGCTGCCAGGTACTCAGCCTCTCCTAGGGCCACTTCACCAGCTGGTGGACACCTACTAAAAAGTCTGGTGAGTCTGTGCCTGAGGTCTGGGATCAAATTAGCCAGGGTCTGCCTATGCTTCCCTGAAGGCAGGCCTTTGGTCCTTTCCACATGCATGGGGCCAAAGGGGCACTGCATGGGCCTAAGACCTGCAGTTACAGATGCCAGTGGGCAACCAGGGGAGTGTTTTCTGCAAAATCTCCATGTGGCTGGCAGGCACAGCCCCCTCCTAGAAGACACACATATTGTAGAAGAGCCAAGAAGGGCTGTCGCTGCAGCTGGTCTGCAGGTCTTGGTGGCTGTTCAGCACTGTCCCCAGTGCACTGAACATGGTAACCCAGGTTCCTTTCCTGAAAAAGCCTGACACCTGGCAACAACAGGCCAGTGTCACCACACAGGATGAGGAGGCTGTCCATCAGAGGGTCCTGCCTGTTTGCTCCCTCGGATCTGGTTTCCCACATGGGCATCATGACTCCAAACAAGTGGTCCCCCTCACCACGAGGGATCTCAAGCCTGGGCCCTTGAGACCTGACTCCAGCCACTCCCCACATGAATGAGGATGGGCAACCCTTGTGCCTTCTCAGATGTGGCCAGAGCAGTGCGCTGCCCTTGAAGTGTGTAGCTGCCCAGAGGCGACCTTTGGGGCCCAGGGCCACACAAGCTGGAGTCCCCTGGCCCGTTGTCCACCACCAGGGGGAGCCCAGAACTTCTACCTCTTCTAATTGACTTAGTGTCATCTTTGATTTGTCCAGGCATGGTGACCAAGAAGTTGTGTCTTAGGTCATGAGAGCAGAAACCACACTCTAGCCTACCTGTGTAGCCAAAGCCAGAGGGAACCACGCTAAGATACCAACCAGGCCCAAGACGGAACAGAAAACCATGCTGGGGGCCAACTTTAATACAGGGGCCAACCTGTTTGGGGTTAGGAAGAGGTGCCTCTCTGTTCCTGGTGGGCCCCAAAGGTGTGTGAGGCCTTCTGGGGTCTGTGCTGCTCACAGACCCGTGGAAACCCGGAGAGACTGTCCAGAAACAAACAGTGCCAAGTACGAGAAGTCACTTCCAGGCTCTGGGCCTCTTGCCTTAGCTGCTGGTGGCTCAGGGTCCAGGATCCCCTTGGACACAAGGCAGGGCACACCTGCTGGAGCAGGGTCTTGCTGCACATTTGGGATGTCTTTTCTTTGTGTGAGACCCACGAGTGTTGAAGCAGGAAGTTGGGGCTTCTGAAGTTGTCGATCCAGCAGGCACGGCTCATGGCCCACCTCCCCCAGATACAAGAGGCTTGAGTCTGGAGTGCCAAAGAAGAGGCACCGAGAGGTTTAGAAAACTCGTTTCCTGGGTTTCCACCCTTAGCCTGCACAGAAGCTGAGAGATGTTGAGATGCCAAGTAAGGGCAGGACCCCTTAATGAAAGCCCCCTACCAGCTAATGGGAGCGGCAAAGAAGTGAAGAGGAAGTAGAGGAACCCCCAGTCTGAGGGCATTTTCCCCAGAGGAGTGCAAGCTACAGGGGACAGGGTCAGCAGTTTGAACAGCACCAGGAGCACAGGCCTGGGTGGTCACCGTGGGAACCACAGCTGCCAGAACCTTGGCCTGGCCTAGGGCTTGAATGTGGCTGTTTAATCCAGAAATGAGAGCAAGGAAACAGCACCACAGAGCGTTCAGACTAGACTGTGAGGGAAACACTGTGGAGTTGTCCTGATGTGCGAGCCCCGTGTGTGCCGTTGCTCTGCCGTCAGCACTGTCCATGCTTGCCAGCCCGGCCTATGTCAGCCTCCTGGGAGCCCTCGAGGGCCGCCCTGCAGGCAATTTTCTGTGGGTCAGTCCTTGGGGAGTCCCTGTGAGTCCCGTAAGAGGCCAAGTTATGAGGCTGCCACCAGCTCTGCCTGCCTGGGTCTGGTTTTGACAGGGGCTTTTTCTGTGGAGGAAACAGAAATGTTTGTGATGTATAAAAGACCATGGCAGACACTTCCACAGGAGAATGAGGCCACAGAGGCCACTGAGAGCAGGCCACTAGGAGAAGGGCATGCCAAACCAGAGAAGAGCTACAACAGGAAGCCAGATGGGCCCACGGAGGCCAGCTAAGTGAATGAAGCCCATCTCAACAGTCCCCAGCACAGCCTCAAGGAACAGAGGAAGTAGGAAAAGAAAAACCAGGGTCCGGGTGGAAGCTTTCCAAGGGCCTGTGCTCAGCAATGCTGCAGGAACTGCCATCCCAGGGCAGCCCATTCCAGGCAACCGGCCTGACCCTGAAGGAGCAGTGCAGCTGACAAGCCTTTGCAGCTCTAGTGAGTGGACACTTCTGTAGTGGCTCTGGCTCTCATCTCACTAGGTGACCCAAACCCTCAGATACTCAGGCCCAATTTGAGGCCAGGCACCCACACAGAGCAGGCCATGACCACAAACACACATGTGTCCCCTGCACGGAGAAAGGCACCAGGAGAATGGGCACATTTGATATTGTTCCCTCCGAGGACCCAGCGTGCCCTGCATACTAAGAAGCACAAGACGTGCAGTTACCTGGGTTTGATTCAGGAAGGGGCTCTGTAGGAACCTCTGGTAGTTCAAATTGTTCCTGCAAGAAGCAAAGGGAGGCTATGAGACCTTTGTGAGGGCCTCACAGGCTGCTGGGGCAGCCTCTTCTCTGAGGAGCCAGACCTGCTTGACTGCAGATTCTGAGCAGGACAAGGCTCTCCTGCTTGCAAGGCCCAGGCCTGCACCACCCCAGCTGCTGCGTCTGTGGAGACCCACATCACCTGGATGGTGACACAGCTACCACAGTGGTGGCTTGTCCTACAGTCTTCAGGATCCTGAGGGGCATGACAATGGTTGACTCCTGGGTTGTCCCCAGAGGCCCTAGTTCACAAGGCTAGGACCATGGCAGAAACAGGCAACCAGGGTATGCTGGCACCCCAGGGCCAGAAAGATGTGACAGAACCTCTGCTGTATTTCCTGGCCAGACCTACTGGGCTCAGGACAACAGGTGGCTCTGGGGGTACATACAGCACTTGTAGACTGGGAATGGGGGCAGGAGCAGTACACCCAGCCCAGTGTGCACAGGAGTCAGCAGAAATGGTGGGGAAAAGAAAACCCACTGCCTGAGAGTCACATGAGGGAGCACAGGCACGTGGGCCCATTCCAGACACTTGAGTCACAACTGCTCCAAGACCCTGAGGTGGCCCCCAATTGCTCCTCTTCATTGCTCTCTCCAGCTGCCAGCCGGGCGCATGGAGAGGGCTTTGGTTTAGGGCAAGCGTGAGTCACTTTAGGGAGACAATTAGGTGCACCCAAGGCCCACCACCACAGGCGAGGCCCACTGCAGCGTCTTATTGACTGGTGACCGCGCCTAGTCCAGGGGTGAGTACCTGAGTGATTGCATCCAGCTCCTCCAGAATGGCGTCCTCGTCCTCCTGCGTGAAGCTCCCTGCCAGCAGCTCATCTATTTGCTGCAAAAGGAGGAGCAGCATGGAGGGCAGCTATGCTGGCCCAGGAAGCCCCTGCTCAAAGCAGCCCTTAAGGTGGCCAGTTGTCCATTCACCAGGGTGGGCCCAGGGAAAGAAGGTGGCTGTGGCTCCAGGGTGCCCCCTGGAGAAAAGTGGTCAGCACACACAGTGGGGTGATCTGGTCCTTGAGGGTGGCCAGCCGTCCATTCACCAGGCTGGCAATGGCACTGACTGGCAGGTGGGGGTGGACTAGTAGCCTGGCACCTACCCGCTGGTACTCTACGGCCTCTTGGGTCTCATCCAGGATTCTCTCCACTTCCTCTATGGACATCACCTGTGGACAAGGTTTTGAAGCTGGTCAGTGAGGCAATGACAGCCCCCACATCAGAGGCCAAGCCTTGTGCTCTGTTCCTGCTTCAATGAAGCTAGGCACAGGGCCCCTGACACCTCGGTCATTCTGTGCAGGCAGGGCCTCTGGCTACAGGAGCCGTCACATCCGTCTTCAGACACCCGCACGGCACTGCCCAGACCTTCCTGCGCCCAAGACAACCCTGACTGTTATGGGTAAAACACATCAAAGCAGAAACCACAGCTGCACAGTGACTTGATTTCCCTCCACTGGCAAGTTCAACACAGCACTCTACTTGGTTGGCACCCATGCCACACACACCTATTCAGACATTCAGAGAAGCACCTGACCCTGCCAACAAGTCCTCTGCTCTCTAACTGGCCTACTTGCTGGCCTGTCCTCAGGAGCCCCCACTGTTCACACCCATGACATTTCCTGAGCCAAGGTTGGAGTCTCTTCAAGATTAGCTCCACACTGTCCTTACTCCAGCAGACCTTCCCTGTCACTCAGCACCCATGCACCCAGTCCACTTGCTGTGCCACACAACACCACCCTCAAGTCCTTTGGCCCTAAGCTGCCTGCCTGCCAGGCACTGGTGCTTCTCCCTGGTCCAGCCAGGCTCATGCCCTGGTTCTGGCACAAACTCGTCCTGGCTGGCAGCTCCACTGGGACCCTCCTCCATACCTGCCCACCAGCGAGGACCCACCTGGTGCATCTTGTTGAGACACTCGTTCCCCACCTGCAGCCCCTCCATCACCTTCATCTCGATCTGTGTGAACTCGATGCTCTGCACCTAAGGGGAGACCCAGGCAGGGTCAGGTGGCAGCTCTGCCCACAGGGGCTGCTGGAGTCAGGACCACTCCTGTGCCCCGTCCCTCTCCTGCCAGAAGACACTCAAAAGTATGGCCAGCTGCTTGCCAGCTTGCTGAGCTAGCAAGAGTGGTACTAGGGCTGCTCAGCCCTAGTACCAGGGATGCCTGTGCTGACCCCTCAACCTCTGACCTGTTCACACTACCCAGGACTAGACCAACCCTGGAGGCCCTCAGGTTCCTGGCAAAGGCCCAGGCCCGCCTACCATGGCCTCTAGGCTGCTGATCTGGTTCTCTGTCCTGTCCAGAAGCTGTTCCCGGTACCGCTTCTTCTTGAGCAGCAGCTTGGCCCGTCTGCAGGGGAAGCCCATGGTGATGGCTGTGCCCACCTTGGCTGCCCCCCAGCCACAGGGCTGAGCCCCTCGCCCGGCCCCACTCACTCTTTCCTGCCATCTCGCAGCAGTTGCCGTGCCAGGGCCCGCTCCCGCTCCAGCTGCTGTGTGACCCTCTTCTGGTACTGCCTCAGCTTGTCCCGCTGCTGCTTCAGTTGCTGTCAAGAAAGCGGCTGGGTCAGCACCCACAAGGGTGGGTGCTTGCCAGGCTGCGGGGCACCAGCTGGCCATACGGTGAGGGCTCTCAAATGGACCCCTATGAGGCCAGGCAACATTCGAAGCAGTGACCTCTAGTGGCAGGATCTTGAAACATTTCTGGTCTTGCAATTGTGGGGTGCTACTGACACCTCCCCACCATGTCCACTGTGCCGAGGAGGAGACCCTGGCTCCAATCAGTCACAGCCTGGCTCAGATGCAGAACAGGGCTGTGAGCAGCAGGTGTGCTCTGGGTCAGGCTGGGAAGCAGCGCTGGTCCCTGGAAGGTCCACACCCAATGGAGAACACAGGACTCAGGAGCACCCATGTCATGCCCGTTTTGTGTTTTTAAGACAAAGTCTCACGACATAGCTGGGGCTGGCGTGGGACTTGCAATCCTCCTGCCTCTGCCTTCCGTGTGCCTGGATGGCAGGTGTGGCCACCATGCCTGGCTATTCCCATTCTTCACAAGTGCTTAGCTTCCCTGTATTCACTTCTGTGTCTGAATGGATGAGATGGCCTTTTGACCCTGTGTCATCCCAGAAAGGATGCACAGGCATTTCCAGCTGTGGACAGCCTCCCTACTCGGCTATTTCCCTTATGAAGAGCAGATGCAGACCGAGGGGCACTTGGTCTACTGGGGCTGACACTCTGAGGGGAGGCCACTGTAAGGGAAGCAAGCCAGGGACACACACCTTTGCGGCTCGGCTGGTAAGAAACCACTCACCTCGTCTATCAGGCCAGCCAGTGTTCCCCAAGGACAGCGGGACCAGCCTGTCCTCTCCTTGCTGTGCAAGAAGATGCCCTCTACCTGACCTGTCCTGTATGTCTCCCCAACAAAGCCTGGGTTACTTTCGTAACTGACACGAACTCAAGACCCAAGTGAGAGATGGTTTCTTACATGGCTACTGAGCCCTGAGTTATCAAAAGTTCCCAGTGGAGTCCCCAAGGGGAAGAAGAAACAGTGGCCCTTCAGCTTGGGGGACCTTGTGGTCAGGTTCCTGTCCTTAATCCTGGCATTATCCCTGTAAGCTGTGTACACAACATTGCTCAGGAAGAAGAGAGAGGAGCCAGGGAGGCAGGACCAGGCCCCCTCTGCAAAGGGACAGGTCTGAGCGGCTGGGGTGGGCTGTCCACCCGTTACCCTGGCAAAAGCACCCCTGTGCTGAGGGTGTCATGGGGAGCCCTGGCCCCCAGGGAGGGGCAGACACAGGTCTGCCTGGCCCGCAAGATCCACCAAAGTCAACCCTTGGCAGTGTGAAGTCCTCCTTGGAGAGCAAAGGGAGGGCAAGTCCGTAAGGACAGGAGTGGCTCTGGCCTTCCTGCTTATGGGGGGCTTCACCCTCTTCCCCTGGAACCTCGGGTCATAGTGACAAACACGCCCACTGCCTGTCCTCGCCCAGGGGACCTCAGCTGGGAACTCTTGACAACTTAGGGTTCAGAGGCCAAGGGAAGAACCGGTCTTTCCCTTGGGTCCGGGGCTGGCTGGGGAGCGCCGCGGCCCCGCTGCTTCCCGGAAGACACACAGGCGTCCACAGGCGGCCCAGTCCACGGGCCCAGGCCGCGGGGGAAACTGAGGCACCCCCGCGCCCGGACCCCCCGGCAGGCCCGCGGATCCCGCGCACCGCCCTTGCCTCGGTTTCCCCCGCCGAACGCGCGGCCGAGGCCCTGGCCCTCCCGCCGACCCCCGTGACCCCTCACCAGGATGGCCTTGTCCTGCTCGGTGACCCGGCTCTGCTTCTTACGGCCGAACAGATTGCCCATGGCGGCCCAGCGCCAGGCCGGCACAGTCCGCCGCCACCGCCGCCGCCGCCGCTGCCCAGCGCGGCCACCGTACCCCGCCACCTTACGGCGGCCGCGCGGGGCCCCGCGCCGCAGAACGCGAAGCGCGTCCACGCGGCCCGCGCGGCCCCGAACCGCCGCGCCCCCCACCCCCGGGGGGCAGGGCTTCCCGCGCACGCGCACGTTCCTCTCCCCGCCCCCACCTCCCTTTCGCGCACGCGCCGAGGAGAGTTGCGTGCGCGCCTCCGCGTGCGCGCCTCCCCGCCCGCCAGGATGGGGACGGCCTGTCACCTCCCTCTTTGACGAAGCTTCGTTCGGGCTCTCTGCCTTCAGGAACTCCGTGCCGGTGTCACTAAGCACTAAACATCCAGCGTTTAGTGATGTCACATCCAGCGTGTGCGACCTCACAGGGTTTCCTCCCCTGCTCTGAGCTCCCCTCACGTGGCCAGGGCCCCAGGAGCCTCACTTCTTCCTGGAATCGCGTCTGCTCCCTGGCAAAAGCGTTCTTCTCTTCAGGAGATCAGAGCGTTCCTGGGGCACTTGGGGTGACAGGGAGAGGAGTCACCCCGGCTGCCTTGGGATCCTTGCCGATTACACACCATAAACCTCAGGGTTCCCCGAGATCTTCTGACCTCTGTCCAGACCCCAGAGATGCGGCTAAGTGACCATGGTGGACAGACAGCGCACCACGGCTTCCCAGTCTTTGCTGGGCACGGGCCTCGCAGTACCCCCAGGGGAGCTGCGTTGCCCTGACCTCCTGCCTTGTCAGGGAGGGGCCCTTGTGCCCCCCGCCAGTGGTTGAGGCCGTGCCAACCACCCAGCATTCTTGTTCAGTTACAAATTCCAGGACAGCACCAGCCACAGGAAGGATGTGTGAGTCCTAAGATTCCACAGGTCATCTGGGTCCCTAACACCCCCACCGTGCCTGTGGCATCTGAGTCCCCAGGAATGAGCACACTCAAAGCCAGGGTCTTGTGACTCCTGAGTGGCTGAGTGTCTCTGCTCTCTGCGACCCCCACGGGTACTCCAGTAACTGAGCCCAGGGCCCTTTGCGGAGGCCTGAAGGTGGCTTTCTTGTCTTCCTGCAGCTACACTTCTGGTTCTTCCTCCAGGCTGAGGGCCCCAAGTCGTGACTTAGCTTAGTGCGTGCGAGGCCACACGTCAAGTCACTACAGTCAGGCTTTGGCCTCCAGACCCAGAGTTCTAGTTCTGTCTCACAGGGTGAGCAGCATTCTAGTGGGTCATTCCCACGGCCCTCTGATTAGCCAAGGGCTCTGCAGGTCAGGGCACTGTGAGTATTGGTGCATCCGCCTGTCCGCCACAGGGCTTGGCCAACCTTGGGCTTGGTGGCTGCTGCTGTTTCTTGGCCTCTGCTGCAGTGCGATTCCATTGTCCCCATAAAATCACAGAGCCCATCTCAACAGCGGCACCCTGTCCCATGGTCCACTTGGCCTACAAAGGACAGCAGTAATGCAACTTTCTGGGATGCAGGGGCTTCCCCATGTGTGGGTCTCACATCGGAGAAGACTGTGCCTTGGGGGCTGTGGTGTGCTTAATGGACCCAGTTCAGCAATCCTCCCTCCAAGAGCCTCTGCACTCCCTTGTCCACACCACACCAGGGATGCCCTGGCCTTTCACGCTCAAGAACTGCAGGTGCCTGTCGAGTTCAAGTTTCAGCCCCTCAGGTGACGGAGCCAGGGCTGGGCGCCAGCTGCACAGCCAGCTGCACTTGCATAGTGAACAGGAACCTTGGTGGGTGAATTCAGCCGCACCTGGGGTTCTATTTCAACCTCCTCAGTCTAACACTCTGGAATCCCCTTCCATATTCTCCAGCTCTCTGCTGATAGACATTTGAAAAATCTCTGAATTCTTGTAGTCTATAAGCCAGAGTTTGGCAAACTACAGCTCGTGAGACAAATTTGGCCTGGAACCTTTTTTTGTAGATCCCATGAGCTAAGAATGGTTTCTATATTTTTAAAGGGTTGTAAAATGCATACCACACGCACAATAACAACACCAAAAATAAGAGGAAGAAGAAGAGGAACAAGAAGCTGGACAGAGACCCGTGTGTTTTTCAAAGTATAAAAGATTTCCTAGGCTGGGCGCCCATGGCTCACGCCTATAAACTAGCTACTCAGGAGGCAGAGATCAGGAGGATCACAGTTTGAAGCCAGCCTCAGGCAGTTTGAGAGATACTATCACCAAAAAAAAAAAAAAAAAAAAAAAACCCACAAAAAAAGGCTGATAGAGTGGCTCAAGGTGTAGGCCCTGAGTCCAAACTCCAGTAGTGCAAAAAAAAAAGGTTTTCTATTTGCCACCCCATCTTTGAAACAGTCTGTCTTTGTAAATCAGGCTGACCTCAAGCTCGCAACCTTCCTACCTCAACCCCCCAAATGCTGGGATTACAGGCATGTGTCACCACAGTCAGCACTATTTAGTCCTTTACAGAAAAAAAATCCTAATACCCACTACAAGCTATTTTCCACTGTGTCACACTGTGGACATGGCTCCTAGGACTTGACACTAACTATGGGTCTCACAGCAACAACAGGTGGCTGTGGTGGTCCTCCAGGAGCACTGAAACCCTTAGAAGATCTGCCACTGGTGGGTTCATGAGAGGATCCCCAAATGTGGGATACCAGTCCCTCAGACACTGTTGCTCCCACACAGAGAGAGTGCAAGGTTGTCAGTGTGACTTGAGTTCAAGGGCAGCCTCCTGTCTGAGTTCAGGATCTCATTTTCTATCAAGGCCAAAACTTTCAGGAAAGGAAAGTGGCCAGGGGCGAATTCTGCCGCTGTTGTAATCACACAGCGTGGGCACTTCGCTGGTCTTGGATCTGCGGTGACACGGGCCCCTTCGGAATGAGAAGTGAAATTCTCTTAGGGCAGCCGTGGACCGTTGCCTGCCCCTCAGAGCCGCTTCAAATGCCCTGGCGGTCATCTGGTGTCCTCTGGTGACATGCAGTAGCCACGTGGGCCCTGCAGCATGAGCACTAAGAGGCACATTGTCATAACCAGCTGGACGCGGGGCTTCTTTCAGGATGAGGCTCCCACACACGGGGCGGTAGCACCCGTTTCTCACGGGCCTGAGGCTTATCAGCACATCCCAGCCCAACATCAAGGCTGAAGTAACTCCCGGGTCCATCCTGGAAGACCCAGCTCCCGGGCCCTGGGATGATGTTTTCCATATCACCCAGGTCCAGGAGGAGACGGAAGCCGTGGCACTGGCCATGTGCACGGGGCAAGAAAATGTAAAATAACGAATCATTCACTAGAAAAAGATGTTAAGCCGGGCGCCAGTGGCTCACGCCTGTAACCCTAGTTACTCAGGAGGCAGAGATCAGGAAGCTCGTGGCTTGAAGCCAGCCCCGGGGAAATAGTTCATGAGACCCTATCTCAAAAACCTCTTCACAAAAAAAAGGCTGATGGAGTGAGTGCCTCCCCAGCAAGCCTGAGGTCCAGAATCCAAATTCCAGTGCCACCAAAAAAAAAAAAAAGTAAAAAGAAAAAGCTGTTAACTATGAAGAGTGTACATGAGAACCCTAAGGATCCAGGAATAGCAAATGCAAGAAGCAGCTAGAATTTCTAGGACAGAGGATGCCATGCCAAGGCCAGTCCTCACTTTGTTGGAGGGTCTGTGGCTGCAGCAGAGTTTGCAGCTGTCCACAGTGAAGGAAGCTGGTAGGAGATGAGGACCAAGGCTGCCTACAGGAGAGGCTGCTGGATGAGGGCTTTGCAGGGAGGAGTTGTGCAAGAAGCAACCCACAGGTGGTGGAGAAAGAGCTTTCTGTGAGTGGATTGGCTGGCAGGTGCACCACAGACAGAAGTGGGGCTCTGGGCACAGAAAGGAAAGCCCCAGGGACTGGGGCTTGGCTTAGTGGTAGAGCACTTGCCTAGCATGTGTGGGGTCCTAGGTTTGATGCCAGCACTGCAAACAAGCAAAGCAGCAAACAAGCAAAGCAGAAAGGAAGCCCTCCTCTGCTGATCTTGCAGAGGGTGATCCAGCACCCTCTCCTGACAGTCTAGCCTTGAGTTAGCTGGAGAAGTGGTACAGGGACTGACCATGTACCCCACAAAGCAGCCCAGAGGATGGAGCCCTGAGGTAGTAAACACAGACACAGGAACCTTCAATATGGCCAAGATCACACAGCGTGGCTTTTGAGACCAGGCCACAAAGGCAGACAGCAGCCTTCTGGGGTCTGCTTGCTCTTGGAACTCGGCCACCAAGCAGAAGGGGCCATGCAGCCAGTGGAGAGGCTTTCATGGAAAGGAGCCTCCAGTCAGCTCTTATGGCACGGGCCATGGTGGAAGGAATAGGTCCCCCATGAGCTGAGCGGCCCCAGCTGATGTCAAACGGAAGAGATGAGCCACCTCTGTTGAACGCTGCCTACATTTATGAGCTAAATGAACTGTGGTTGCTGTTTTAAGCTGTATTTTGGGGTAGTGTGGTGTCAGTGATAGATGCCTGGAGCGATGGTTGCAGGGGCCCTGGAAAGGCAGTGGAAGGTCTCAGGTACATACCGTATGGTGCTTGAATTTGTAAATACTTCTTAGAGTCCTTCCACAGAGAAGCCCGTCTGCCATCCTATCCAGGGCCCGGAAATCAGGCGAGAGCTTACCACTCTCCATTAAGGTGCTTTGCTCAGCTTGCCAGATCTGACCTCTTCTTTCAGTGATCAGTTGAAGTTTTACTGCAGCCATCCACCACCCTCAGCTGCGGGGCTGCTCGCCACAGCCAGAGATGCTCACGGCACCATCACTTCACCAAGTCCACCCTGTCTGGGCCTTGGTCCCTGAGAAATCAGGGTCCCCTTTGGATGTCAGCATCTGCTCCCTTCATCCCTGGCCTGTAGCTTTGTCACCAATGAGCTTCTCATGGCCTTTGTGAAGGAAGTGCACCTTGGGGATATAAGGGACACGGAGAGTGGCTTGCTGCTGGCCACTTGGTGTGGGCATTCCCATCTTCCCGAGCCTCGGTGTCTTCCTTGTGTCGTGCCGACGAGCTTCGGCCTCTCAGCAG